TGCTTGATCTATGTTCCCTCTCACTCACGCGGTGGATGATTTAAGAAAGCAATTTTAAAAAGCCACCGGTGGAAAAGCTGGTGACGAACAAGAGAGGTGCGTTTGCCAGGAGAGGTCAGTGTTGCTCCATTGATGAAGTCGCTGGACAGTTTTCTTCATTTTTAGTGTCTCATTCTGTTTTCTCATTCTCACTTCCCCCCCCACCCTCAATTCATCTCACTCTGCCGATCATGTTTTAGGGGAACATTATGCCACGCACTAATCACAGTCTCCTCCCTCCACATTCTGCCTTCAAGTACAACAGATAGCCTACTTGCTCTCTCCGAACAACTATGTGCTTTAATTGCATTTGACTCCACTTAATCTAATGGCTTTGCGAACAATGGAACATAAAAGATGTGCTTTTAATGAGGAAATCCGATGAGCGGCCTACGAGAGAAATTAATAGAGTTGTGTGTGTGAGAGATCCTAACAGGGTATTGACACAGATTAGGACACACACACACACACACACACGAGAGGAAAGAGATTAAAATTCCACCATCAAAGGATCCCTCCCATCCGATATTGATTGGCGAATGTGTTGTTGTCAACGTTTAGATTTGATTACCGCTGACACGCAGGGCTGAGGCTGAAACACAAGGCTGGTAATGGCCACGATGTCTTGTGCATATCAAATATAGCACGAATCCTACCGGAGTAATTAATATCGCACTGTGGTTATGAATTTCCTGGCATAAACGACCAATCGGATTTGCATGGCTTGCACGGTGGTAATTAAGATGAAGCATCAGGGAAAACGTTACATGAGTGTTTCAGCTAATTCTCCCCTCTGTGTTCTTTTTTTTTTTTTTTCTCCTTCCTTCCGCTCTCCGAGGACTTCTCCTTTAGTCACAGTTTTCTTAAATATTTGCAGGGAGAATGAGGTGTTGACATTTCGTCTTTTCATTGTCATGCAGCTCGGAGGGGAAACGCATTTGGGTAATTTCACAGCTGTAACAAAAGGCCACAGTCAGTTATCTCTTACACTCATTCTTCCTCAGGAGGAAAAAAAACAGGCCTTCAACTTGTGGTAGGCTGCTGCCACAAAATGCTTTTCACAGGTCTTGGCTTTCACATGTTACACTTGTGTTTAGATGGTTTGGAGTGCTGTCTGTCTCTCCAGGGGGGGAAAAGGAGGGTTTGATCTTTTTTTTTTTTTTTAAAACCACCTCTATCCCATTATACACTGGATTGTATTTCCCATGTGCGATTGGCCAAAATTCTCTGCGGCTTTCATGGCGGTTTCTCAAAAATCATCCCATCAAAAAGCTGTCAGTGTAGTTTGAGATCAGTCAGCTGTCATCAGGTGCAGGCAGATATTGACCTTGTGGTAGGTAAGCTACACCGCACGCGGCTATTTTCAGCCCGTCGTGTGCAGATGTGGTGATTCGCGGGCCGTGCTAACAGCCGATTTTGTAGTGAAAAGGCCCAAAAAGGTGATTATGGGCGCTTCAGCTCATGTAGCAAACATGCACAAGTCAGAATCAGGCAATTTTTTTTTTTTTAAATGTCGTGTTTCACTTCAACTCAAGGACCACAAATGAAATTAAACTCACTTGGTTGGACTTAGATGCAAGCAGAAGGAGTTGGACATTATAAAAATTGAATGTATTTTAGTTGTAATTGCTACTTATGTGTATTAAAGTCTTTGCAACTGCTACTTATGAAGGAGCTTTTATGACATGTCTGTTACAGCAGTTTGTTGTTGCATTTACCCTAAAACCCTGCACCGGCTGCATGGCTACTCACTGATAGAGGTAAGTGAAAAAACACACATGGAAATGTTTGCAATCGGGGTTAATGGACCCATTTAAAAGTACTAAATTGCTAATTTTTTTTTTTTGCAAATCTGTTTGCTGTGTGAAAAATAAAGAGTACTCTCCTGTGCTGGGCACCTCTGAAGAGATCAAGTGCCCCTGATGTCCTGAAACCATAATTGGCCCGCATCATCCCCTGCATAATCCTTCTCTAAAGCCATATTTAAAACTCACACATAAAATATTATATTCCGGTGAGTGCGTGTCAGAGGCAGCGCGTGCATGGATTTCCCATGGTGAGGTTGTGTATGTGCCCGGCGGTGGGGCGATGCGTCTTTGTCCTTCCTCCGCTCCCCCTGCAGATGAGATGACTGATTCTGGGGTATGGGGGCTCTTCCCTCACTCCATGTCATTTCCAGGCCAGCAGGCCTCCAGGGACCCTCCACGACGTTCCCCTTCCTAGCAGCCCTCCCCACCCCCCCGGGCCTATGACACACATAACACATTGGCTCTGTCACCACCACAGCTTATTTTAGAGCGGCCTTCTTGGCTGCCGGGAGAACTTTAACTTTATGTAAATCATATTAATAAATTTGCGGGAGTTAGGGGAGGAGGGGTGAAGTTGCTCTGAGGATTTCAGCACAGCGCCAGAAGGTGAGCAGGACAGTGACAGTAAGTCAGCAGATGAAGGAGGAGGAGGAGGAGGAGGAGGAGGAGGAGAGATGGCATACAGTACGGTCCAGTAAGTACTGTGTTGGTGCCAGAAATACAGAGTGAAAGAAGGTCAGGAGAAAAATGATTTACAGTTACCTGCAGGTAGGGATTGTTATGTCCTGCGATTTTGCAGGTGAAACAAAAACACCGAAGCCAAGTGATAGATAAGGCGACTGGTACGATACATTAGCTGTAACAAAAGGTAATTATGGAGGGGAAAATGTAGACCATTTAGTCATCTAAAATCTAAACTGAATAGGTCGCATTGCGGCACACATCTCTAATTGTGTGATCCTTGCAATAGAGCCAGGGGAATTTATGGATCACATCCCACCGTCTGTATCTGTGTGCATAGGAACATGATGTGTTTGCATGTTCCTATTTATCCCTTGATAGGATTGCATTCAGTTGGCTATGGGAATCCAAGATGACAACAGTGTCTATTTGCTCAATTGAGCCCCCGCTGCTGGCTTCTAATGGGTCTTTCCACTGAGCTCATTTTCTTTATATCATCTAACACCTGCCGCCCTGTCACAGAGATGGAGGGAGCAGGAGGAACACTGATTCCATCTCTCAGCTGAGGATCGCATTTCTTTTTTTTTTCCTTCTCTCTCTCCCCCCACTGGCTAATGAACACATATGAAGAAAGACAGAAGTGGGAAAACAACAAGAAAATACAAATCAATATGATTTTAGATATTTTCTAATCATTGATATAATTGTTTTGTTGCTTTCTTTGATGCTGCTAATGAGTGGACACGTTTATTAGCGGTCATATTTGATAGAAGAGATAGAAAAACATCACACAGGATGGAGACAAAACGGCATTGGGGCATAAGAAGCAGATGTGCTGATGTCGGGTGTTGAGCACAGCTCAGGGCGGCACACGCAGTCATCGATTGTTGCGAAGGAGATGCTAATGCAATCGATGCGACACGCTGATGAGCATGTTTGCAGGAAGTGAAGTCCATCATCTTCCTCTTACACCTGACGTCCACATCAAGGAGGCAGGTTGAGGAGACAGGGAGTGAAAATGTGAAGAGAGGATGGGGGGGATGAAGAGCTCTCAGCTTTCCTCTGACTGACATTTAACCTTTATATACTCCAGTTAACATATGATGAACATGCAGCCTGTTAAAAGTACGATGACGCATTACGGCTGAGGAGGAGACTCACTGAGCTGTTCTGTGATCTTTGTTGCATTACTGTGGGTCTAATCATTTCTGTGTGTTCAATATGCAGGATTATTAGCGGATAGTCAGTGCCTCCTCTAATAGAAGTCACTGTTAATGGTACTGGCCTTTAATTAAAGGACAAGGCTGGCATGTTCTACATTTTTCTTACTGGCAACGAATCCCATGAAAATACCAAAAATAACAATGTGTCATTTTTGGGGGGTTATTATTTGTTGCACCCGAGTCCTCTGTTTTTTCTTTGTTTGTTGTTTTTTACCAAATTGAAAAGGTAATAAATGCAAAAAAGAAAACTAAAGGACTAAATGATTTAATAAAACAACAGCATTCTTTGGTTTTCAGCCAGTGATACTCAGGACTAATAGGAATAGTAAACTGGAACAGATTGCGTACATGTTCAGCTACCACTTTTAATTACAAATTAAAACACATTTCTACTAGTTCCAGTGGAGGCTGTGCTGACAGAGGATGAATCAGAATGACCTTTTAAACTTCAAATGAGGATGTTTCTTACAATAATATCCGCACATGGCAACTACAGTGTTAGGGAGACATTCTGGATTTTGATTAGATCTTGATTAACCCAACAAAAATGTTTAGTTACAAAAGTAATGATGTACAACTTACCTTACTACCACACTGACCTACACATCTGTGCTTTCTAATTGACTATTTAAAGGTCCACTATGGTGCTATAGTCTTATTTGCCCCCAGAATGTCTTTCCACTCAGAACACCACAAAGATGCTCCATTTTATAATGTCTGCCCCCTTCAGGAAGAAGACTCTCCCTGGGTCTGTGATTGGCAGAGCAGAGCAAAACAGCTGTCCACACAGCAGCTGATACAGACGTGAAAGACTGTGTGAGACCAGGACTTTCTATCACTTCTAACTTTCTTTCCTAACTTTTTCGTTTTTAACGCTGTGGTTATAAAATCAGTATTTTAGTGGTACAGGGCTGCATATTTAGGGTCCGAGCACCCAAAAGGGTGCGAAGACCCTATTGGAACTGCTTGGATTATTATTATTATTCGTGCCAAAGACACCCGGTTTTGAGGCCCTAAACATACTCGAAAACTCACCAAAATTGCCATGTACATCAGACCCGGTGAAAAATTTTATAATTTGGAAGAACAATACACACCTCAATAGAAAAATTGCTCCACAGCGCCACCTTCTAAATTGTCAAAAGCACATTTGGCCTAGAGCTACGCAATTTTGTAGGCATATAGAGCAGGTCAGGATGAATAAAAAAGTCAGGCTGGGCCAAGTTGTAAAATGCAACCAGAATACGAGACGTGCTGTGTCTGTGCTCCAATCGGCCTGAAATTTTACACGCATGCTCCGACTGTCGGCCAGAGCGCGTTTCCACCCCGGCCAACATGCACGCCGCCGTGGCTCACCACTAAACAGGAAGTAGCTCGTAACTAGGCCGCACTTGCTCCAATCTGAGACGTGACCTTTTTCGACATTGAGGCCCAAATACATAATGTGTTTTTTTTAA